TGTGAGTGAAATATTCGCCTTCATACTTCTTATAACTCATATGGAAGCAAGCTGGTTTATCTGTGGAGCACCGAGCTTCATTCCCAGAGGTAACGGGTTCAAATTCCACTAATCACCAAGAGCATAAAGGTCTTTGACAAATCGTTATCCTCGAGGCTTAGCATGAAGTAATGTGTAAATCTGTTTCTGGTCTTCAACGTACCGTCATAGAAAATGAAGATGAGTCGTAGACATGACCAATGTGTTAATGTTGAATGGATTATTCGTTTATCATCAAATTTTACGTTTTGTTATTATTTATGACATTATAACGAGTGTAATGAAAATGAGGTTAAGCATTAAAATTTATGATATTCTTTAAAGCTATTAGGCTAGGAAATGTAGGCGTTTAAGAACATCTCCATATCTTGTCATACCTATCAATTTAAGACATAGTCAATACAGAAACAGGGACAATAATCATGATACATTATGTGTAAAAATGTGGTCCATTGCTATTCAAGTAATGCATAACATTTTGATAATATTGTTAAAGTATTCATAATGCTGGATTAAATCAATGTATACTTTTAGTATAAAATATTATTTACAATAAGCTATGGTTGACATGCCTGGACTACAGTCCTTCCCTTCCCTTCAGTGTACTTTACGTCTTGAAAGTCAAAGGAGCAGTGTTTTATTTTTCTTTTTGATGGTGAGTACTAATTGGACATATTAAACTATAATAACAGCGTTTTGATATGCGAGGCCTGTCTTTGCCTCTGAATGAATCACATTTTTATCTTAAAGTGCGTCGATTCTAGATCAAGTCATGAGTGTTGCAACCCATACAGAACGCCATCTCCTTTCACACGAATCCTTACCTTCAGACCAGGCAGATCATGTCATGCTGGATAGAAATTAACCCGGATTGGATCCCAAGTTGCTTTCATTTCAAGACACAATCACTTTGCTATCAAATGTGGCAGAATAAATCATTCTACCATAACAATCAGTTCCATATTTAAGTGTGACTTTATCATCCTGAAAAGCAAAAACTCTTTGTACTTTCTGAGTCTGGACTTTTATTTGATCCTCTTTCATATAATTTCTTGAAATCCCACTCAAGATTTTTGAAACGGATTGGAGGAAGGAACGAATATTCCTATTCATCGTGGAGAAATGTTCTTTGTTGTGGATCAAACTACTGGTTTGTCTAGAAACATTCTAACTAGGTGTACAATGCAGTTTTCTGCTTGCAATATTGAGCGGAGCTAGCATATTAATCCAATACTTACCTAGAGTCAATGTTAAATCTATTTCTCGTAAATGAGATATAGTATTTGGTCAATGGTGTATTTGGTTCACATAATTGGAATGTCTATTTGCAGGATCCAAAGTCAATTATAAATTGGATTTACGGAAATGAACTGTCTACTTACAGGAACCAAAGTCTATCTTTCATCTGGTTCTCATAAATTACATGTTTTCCGTATTCAATGTCATTGATATATATGGTTAGCATGAATAGAATGTCTAATTTCAGTATCCAAAGTCAATTATACTCCTGGCTCTCGTAATTGAACATTTTACTTGCAGTATCCAAACTTAATGGTACATTTGGATTACGTGAATGAATTGTCTACTTGCAGTATCCTAACCAATGGAACCTGCTTCACATAAATGAGAAATCTAATTGCCCTATCCAAAGTCAATGGTCCATTTGGTTTACATAAGTAAGATGCCTATTTTCAGTGCTCAAAGTCAATGATACGTCGGGTTCACGTTAACGAATTGTCTACTTGCAATATAAGTCAATGGCTCAATTTGATTCACATTTAAATGGAGTGCCTATTTGGAGTATTTAAAGTCAATGGTGCATCAGCCTAATCCCGGCGACCCTAATTATTTGTTATACATTTTTGTTGTAAATTATGCTCAATGACATTAATCCGACTGTTCTTCCCTTTTTCTCTGTACAGTATTTGTAATGTGCTATTTTAGATGATTCGTTGACTAACATATGTTGCGAATCTTGTTTACCTTTTTATTGTTATCTTGCCAAAAATAATGTCATGGCGACCAATTAACCCATAAGGCCCATGTTAAATTTCTAAAAGTTTTAATTCTCGTAGGGAAAGCCCTGAGGTCCGATATGTACCATTTCATATTTATACCTTCCCCTGGTTGGTTACTATGACTGTGCTAAATTTCAGGCAGCACTTCAGCCGTTCAGGAGGAGTATTTGTAAAACAAAAGAACAAAAGCAGGAATGTACTGTCTAACAGCTTCGCTTTGCTCCGCTCGATGAAGTCTGGGGAACCCGAAGTAAGTCCTCCTTGTAAGAGAGGTCTGTCTTTTTGAAGAGATTCTAGCAAAGTGAGATTTTATCATAAGGCAAGTCAAACTCCCGAATACTTCAATGGGTTTTACCTAATCTAACCTACCTTACCTGTTCTAATGGTTCTAAACTGGACCTAGCTGTCCCTGATCATTGGGTTTTTAATAAATCGTTGATAAAGAAACGATTGTTTGGTCGTATTCAGTGACAAAGCTGTATTATGCTTTTTACTGAATTCTACACTCATCCCTCACTCATTTCAGGTTAAAATACTCAGAACTGCTTCCCTGTCTTTATGTGACAGTGAACATGGCAATCATGATGTTTGAAATCCCCTCAAACCCTGTCATTCCCATAGGTTGTGCGATATGCTAAAGACCGTTTTAGTTCATGTGGCTCTGATAAGCCCTTATGTAAAGCAGGTCAATACACTTACGAAGAGTGGACTGCGAAGAATGGTTACCATCGCATCTCGACTATAGTTCTTCTAAATGACTCGATAACCTTGAACTGGTTATGACTAAAACTGCCGGCTAGGCTCATCAGTTGCAGCATCGGTGAACGTGAAAGGCCAAGGTTCTAACGGTCCGAACCTTCTCACAGTAAATAAACTGTTACCAAGGGCCCTGCTTCGGCATGATTTCGCTCGATCAGGACCCACCAAACATTGATATCATGTGTCTGTCAACACAGAAACCCCCCATTGGTATGAAGTGATATGGGTTATCCAACCCGTCAGATTAATGAAAGCATGGTTGATCTTTAAAACTTAAAGTGCAGAAGTACAGTGAGGGTTATTCCGGGGCTGTGTTGGTATCCCTTGTATGTAATGAAGCACCTTCTACAGAAAAACTTGGGTAAAGTATTCCGTAATTTGAAAGCTAGTGCATTTCTGACTCGTGTAAAAATATTAACATTTTGTCAAATATCTGTACGGAATGGGTGATTCCACAATTATGGATTCCGGATTAGGAAGAGGTAGCTTATTGATATAATAAGGGATAGGTCAGTACTGTAGGATTCACAAAAAGCCAGACACAGTATATGGCTTTAAAAAAAGACACAACCAACCAAACAGCATTCACACAAATTAGAATGAAAGAAAGGTTATCCTGACAACCTTCTATAAGCAATTTAAATTTTACATTAAATAAGTGTTGCGTTAGCTATATCTTGACGTCGTGTGGAAGCACCTACGATATGATTTCCAAACGTAAAATCAGAGCCAACAATAATCTAATTCCAACGAATACAAAATAACAATTTAGTTAGTCGGCACATTCTGTAGGCATACGACGTAGGCCTACAGTGAAATTGAGGCTGGGGGTTCACGGTTCCCATCCCAGTACTACCACCTCAACAGTTAAATATCTGTGTTGCCCATTATGTTACTGAATCGGCTCAACAAGCCAAAGAAGGAAAAGGGAATTCAAGAATTATCGCCCTTGTAAAAGACTTGTCTGCATGTCTCACGTAATATTTCCATACATCCTAAAATTTTACTTTGAGTACATATATCAACTGTAATAATGCCACTGCTTCACTATTCAACCACAAGACTTTGCTATGTCAATAACCATTATGAGTAGTGTTTATAATTTGAGAACTATACGCCTGACTAGAAAATGACCTACTATCCTTGAAAAGTAAAGATACAAGATGTATTATGTAAGAACTCGTCCTCCAAAACATAATAACTGCTATCCAGTAACTCTTATAATCAACTATCTTCTACATTAGAAACAATTGTACAAAGCCTGGTAATGATTGTGCGGATATCCTCTTGGTAGCCAAGCTCATATTAAAGACAGAGGAAGCAAGGAGCGTGCAGCGACCTCCGAACTCTCATTACAATTTGTATGGTCCTAGAATACACCCTTGCGGTACGCCGCCGTCGCCAATCGTAAGGTCGACGCTACGCAAGAACAGTCGCGTTTTGCGGTCAGATGTCAAGCAAATGTGACAGTCTCACTATAGTTCCTTTCTTTTATTATTGATTTGGTAAGTGATAAGTTTACAAAGTCCTAATTAGTTGTGTAATATGCTAATGGAAATAGACCTTACTAATATAATGCAACAAAAATATAAGTGTTCTTATAATAAAGAATTATTTATTTAATTAACGGTATATTATTGGGTACATAATAAATAGTGAATATTACTATGGATGTATTAACTTAAGGTGATAACGATGGATTTTAACGCCACTGTAAAGTAACCTACTAAATAATAATGTAGTTTAAAATTATAATAATAATATAGTTATTATAATAATATTATATAACAATATTATATAATAATAATATAATAATATAATAATAATAATATAGTTTAAGATTTGTTCAACGCACCAGTTTTTGTAATGATACAATATGTCACGTTTTTTTTACTTGATTATGAACATTGTGTTAATTACAGTAATCTCTCTGTGAAGGAAACAATATAAAACATTGTTATAATAACAAATAATAAACCCACATGTTGAATCTGGTACAACATATTTGCTGTCAAAAAATATTCACACAACATTAATTTAATAGTCATACTGGAATGTTTTATTCTTAAGTAAGACATAAACATGAACATAATTTTTTTTTACTCGTACAGTATAATCACATTTAATATGTAATCTTCCACCGAATTATGTCCTTGTTAATGTTATAGTTGAATTCTGTTTCAGGACGTACAACATATTTTACCACTGGCAGCATCTACGTTTGTAAGGTAAGAAACACATAATTATTATAAAATGTGTAGGCTATCCCAATATCTTCATTCACCAAACGTACTTGTAGACTAATTCAGGATAGAAATAGAAAACAGGTTTGGTTGATAAAGTTTTTAATCCATTGTACACTTTTAAATATTTTTCATAGTTAATTTATAGTTATTGATATTTAAATTTACCTATGTCAACTTAACCTTAGTCGGATATCAGTTAGGGCAATATTTGTTATTTTCGGGAATATTACGTTTGAAAGTAGATACTGTATGTATGAGGAACTAAATACAAGTTCACGTTGTTTTGTCTGTGTAGAAAGGAAAAATGTTTTCATGCAAGATTAATTTCGACCCTTTAAACTGCGTATTTGTAGATAAGCCGTCCAGATCTAGAATCTGGAAGTCCATCGAAGAGGTTCAGCAGAACCAGAAGTACAGTGCAGTGTTAAAAACTACCATGTTTAACTACCTAAATTCCTCTTGTTTGTAGATTATAAATACATTACCATCCACATGCAACTGGCTCAAAAGTTATATTCTCGTACATTAGCCTATTATATATATAATAGACATACCCTGGTGATGGCTAGAAGATTGCATTGTCAAATGAAAACACGAATTTATTATTATTTTCTCGTTATTACTGAAATTAATTGTTATAATTTATTATGATAATCTACCTAAGTTATCCATGTATCTACCTCGATAATAATTCTCTTCATTCTTAAACCGGTGATGGTTCTAGGGCCGTGTCAAGGGGGGAGGGGCTAACGGGGGTGTTTATTTGTTTCTCTCAGCGGATACACCATTTAAACAAATAAACATGGATGTATAAGACATGTGTAAATATCTAATACATCACAGAACGTATTAATAAACAGTAACGTAATATAACAATAACAAGAGTATAAAGAGATTTAAACGTAATAACAGTATAAATGCAACAATTTTCAATAAATACAAAAAAATATAAGTCTTATCAATAAAAACGATAGCAAAATTACAGCAACAAAAACAAAAGGGTAATATTTAAATGTAACTAATGACAGTGGCTCATGGCTAGACGGATATAAGAATATTTTTTTCAACAAGAATCTGGTTGATCTTTAACCTGAAGAAGTGAGTTGAATCGCCAAAAAAGTCGACATTAACTGCACATTTGCTCCCTAGCCGGTGTAGACGAGGTATACCACTGTTGTATACATACTATGTTGGGAAGAACTGCCATTTGAATAAGTTCTGGACAGTCTAGGAGGTCATTAACAACTTTGTACAAGAAAGAGAAGATCCAGGAACTTGTGTGTAATCTGAAGAGGTTGAAGGTCAAATTCTATCTCCAGGTCACAAACTGGGGTTTGAGAGTATTGAAAGCCAAGTTTCAATCCCTGAACTGGTGCGTTCTTCACCAGGAGGAGTCCTGCGGAGGTGAATGTTGTATTTAAAACCGTTTGGTGACCTTTAATGCCATCTTTAACGTTTATAACTGCGTACAAAAACCACTGTTACGTTTTGTGATTAAATTAATGTATAAACTTATATTTTCAGGGTCCAATGAGGTGGCTATAGCCCCTCCTCTTGGCACCGCCTCTGATTGAAACCAAACAAGTACGTTAGTTGGTTTAGGAATTATTGCAAACACATTACGATTAGATAAAAACAAGGTTTTACGACGTTTAGGGATCTGGAAGCTAATTCGGTCTCCTAGAGAGAAATTGTATTGCATTTAGTCTCATGTTTCCACTACGAGACAGTTCTTGGTGTGGTAATTATATTGTCAGTAACTAGCTTTGGCTGTGTGTGTACTAATCTTTTTTAAGTATTCCACGTGAGGAGGGGGGGTCAGATTTTTGATTCCAAAACGTCGTAAAACTTATTTTTACTAAGCGTGAGTTATAATTCCGTATACAATACCTCGGATAACTTACCACCACAACAACTGGACATGAAACATATTAAAACAAACTTGTAGGCTTTTTTCTCATTTTATTATGATAAATATACTGTTATAACTTTAAAGTATTTATTGGTCAAGTTTTTTAACCGATTACAATGACAGTTCTGAAAACGTGAGGGGTTTTTCGCCCAGATTGTGCTCTCTCTAGAGCAAAGCGCTTTCCTTCAACTTCGTTACTGACGAGATATGTGAGTCAGATGTAAATCAGATGTGTAGATAGACATAAGACCAAAAGAGCGCGTGAGAAGGTAAAAGTGTGAGAACAGAAGATTGCAAGCTCGCTAGGTGGGGGAGGGGAAGCCCTGACCCCCTGATACCCTGGCTAGTGATAACCATCACATCGGAGACTCAAGCCTAGTGGTTCAGCAATTAAAACTGTAACTGTTTCAAAACTACCGGGATGGGATTCCCCTATCAAAGTCCTAACAACCGTTCTTCGACGAATACAGTACCCTAAAGACGGATGATTCTTACATGTAGACAGATATTCTTACATGTAAGTGTTTCTGAACGCAGCTGCTGCAAGGTCCTGGTGGAATAGTAAATGGCAATATCCGTTTGGTAACCAGATCGCGTAGAAGTCGGCGTAAGAGAAACGTGGCAAACCCCTAAACCTTCCGCAAACGATTGTTTGTTAATTCCTAGATCCAGATAAGACCAAGACTACTTAATGGAGGGCTCCACCAACTAGGAAACAAGATCGGCTATGTTATCTGCACAAGTAATGAATGTCGAGGGCATTTACACATCCACATGGGCCATGTGATACCACTTTCTCCGAGTTTAGATTTGTCTCAATGAATTGTCGGAAACTGGATGCAAGCGAAGCGAGCCTGGGGCTACACCAACAACACCGACTCGCTTTCTCTGAACAAGGGTGAACGCCGTTGGACATTAGTTTAGGGCATCGTCCGTTACGATCTATCGCTGTCAGACGTTTGCAATCACTACAATCCCTATTTTCTAGATGATCTTTGAACCGCTGAGGGCTCCCGGCTTACTAACTAGTTCGACGGTTCGAGTGACTTATTTCAGTCGTTATGTGAACAATAGAATACACGTAACAAAAGCGCCGTCTAAAAATTACGATCAGTTTGGAAATCGGAAGTCGGCCTGATTGGTTATTAGCTCTTGGTTTGCGCCCAGGGGCAAGAAACTCCAGAGCGGAAAATATGTAATATGTCATTTGAAACCTCTGTCACATTTCTCTAACATTTATTGATTCTCACCCCATTTCACAATACGCCTAATCTCCAGATATTTTATTAACATACAAATTGGTTTTCTCCCAATTCTCAAATTGGCTTATAGTTCACATGCATTAGGGTTACTTATCATGACAACATAAACTACGTGAATATACGATCCTCTATTATCTTACTGAGTATATAGATCTATGTTATTGACATGTATGCTCAATGTAATCTCAATGACACCCGCGCGACAATAATTATACAGTAGATACACATTCTGTATAAATCGTAGAACGGAAGTAGGTTCAGACCAACAAAATATTGATGCATTTATTCCTTACTTTTCAATCCAACGTATTAGAATCATTTGACAATTACATCAATATTGATTACTAGCTCAAAACAACCTCTCATGGAATCAATCCTAATTCAGAGCTGTTAACTGAACTAGTTTACAAGCCCCCTCATATTTTTAAAATTAATTTTTAATATGATATACTTATTTACGATAGAATAATCACGAATTTACGAAGAAAAAAAATCAGAACGAATATTATTTGTCTACCTAATCTTGTATCTGCTAAGATAATATATTAGATCTGTTAACATATGATTCTTTGAATATGATTTCCTTTGTTGTCCAATTTATGTTTCTGTTTACAAGTGAGTTCTGTCAGTTTAATTTTCTGTAACACAAAAGTTTATGTCCTTTCAATAAAATAATTGTTCTTCCACGTGCTGCCTTATTTTATTGAAGAATAAAATAATATAAAAGGTTATGGGCCCAGGCAGCCAAGAAGAGTAATGTTTTTGGAGCTTACAGTCTTGGTAAAGTATGCCTAGTGGTCTTGGGAAGAGTAAGTTATTGAACATTGAAATGGCAAACGTCAATATAAACGTGCTAATATTCTCAGGTCAAAATTTTAATAATTGGAAATTTATGTTAAATTCTTTTTTAAAGAAAGAACAGTAACCACAGAAGAACCATCAACAGATGAAAATAAAAATAAAAAGTATTTTGTAAATGATGATAAAGCCAAGACTATTATGATTCACACTTGATTAGCTTTCACTCTTTAATATTGATTCTATTTCACTGCCGTTTATGGTAAAAACTATTCATATAATTATTATTAATATGCAGCTCCTGCTTGTTTCAGTAACGTGGGTGTAAGACCGGAAGTAAGCCTAATATTGAGAAATCTTTGTCAATGTTAAATGATGAAGGTCTGCATTGCATAACCCAACGCATTGCCACGGTTTGCTTGCTGTCCTGACAGGAGCAAAGCGTGACGTCATAGTTCAAAATCGTCACGACTCCTTCTGTCTTTACGTAACAATTGGCGATACAGAGCCTAGCGATACTGCCCCCTCTCTCTCTCAGTCAACAGAAAAACAGTTATCACACTAATGTAGGGTGAGGTTCCAAAATAAATTTGTATTCGATCAAGGGCTCTTTTCCAATTTAAGTTATCTTTTGTAGTATCAGGGGGGTCTTTCGCAGGTCCCTGAACCCTTTATAGGATCAGGGTGTATTTTACGGGTCAAGGAACTTTTTGTAGGATCAGGAGGTCTTTCGAAGGTCAAGGGACCTTTTGTAGTATCACGGGGTCTTTCGCAGGTCAAGGGATCTTTAGTAGGATAACGGGGTTTTTCGCAGCTCAAGGGATCTTTTGTAGGTTCAGGGGGGTCTTTCATAGGTCAAGGGATCTTTTGTAGGTTCAGGGGGGTCTTTCGCAGGCCAAGGGATCTTTTGTAGGTTCAGGGGGGTCTTTCGCAGGCCAAGGGATCTTTTGTAGGTTCAGGGGGGTCTTTCACAGGTCAAGGGATCTTTTGTAGGTTCAGGGGGGTCTTTC